TAGACTACATATAACATATGAACAATTATATATATAATTAAAGTAATATAATATTATAATATAAATTAGACATACAAACTATATATTAATTTAAAAAATTAAAGTAAATATCAATCAATTATTATTGTACATTTATTTTATAAATACACATGCCCGTGCATGAGCACGGGAAAATCACCTAGTTGATTGTATAGGAAGAATCGTCTGTCCTTCTATCTCTCTCTTCCAATTTTTTTTTTTTTAAATATGTGGAAACAATACAACATACTTCCAATGAGAGTAGACAAAGGCTCAGACGCCCTTAAACAAAAAAAATTAAATTACTTATATCCCTACCAAATCTTTATATCCCTCATATTCATTAAAGAAACTGCAATTACGAAATTGGCCTCAGATATTAGAAAAGAAAAAAAAAATTGAAGACGTTTGCGGTGGGGAGAGTTGCGTTCTATTATGATTTTGCGTTTGGAGTTCCCCGACAATTGGGAGGCGCGACAATTTCTCCAATCTCGTTCTCAGCTTCCCCTCTCCAACTCGAAAGTTGCTTAGCCTGGGTCCTCTGGTGCCGTATAAAGCCCAATTATCTCTTCTGTCCATCGCTGGTGTATCCTCCACCGTAGGAGGTTCAAAACGGGAATGTTTTATGCTTCAATAGAGATGATGTGTAGCTGAGAAACCTGATTGGATTGGATTCAGATGTTGCATATTGATGTTTGAGCTCCATTATGACTTGAATTGAGTAGGAGAATGGCTGCATTGTTTCATTCGTAGTGAATTGAAGGTGGATTTAAATCTCAATCAAAACTGGTATGACAGTAATACTAGTATTACTGATAATTGTGGTATAACTAGTATTACCGATAATTGTGGTATAACTAGTATTACTGGTATAAATTCAAAAGTTTCCGCTTGCAAATAATGGATTTTATCAATGGTTTTGACAAGTTCCAGTGAGAAACAACGTCATCATACCCTTCAAATGTGAAGGTCAGATGTATTATTTAGTGTTCAAGAATGATACGGATGAGCTAAATCTTTCAATGGTAGAAGCACAGATATGCAAGAAGCTGGCGGTAGATGAAAGTAATGTGAAGTTGAAATTGAGTTACATTCCACTGCTGATTGGAAGTGAGAAATTTTTTTCCAATTCTGATGATGAGGACCTCAGTGGTTATCTATTTTCCGTTGATAAAGAAAACCGTAGGTGAATTTTGTTTGTGGAGATGATCAAAAGGCTCGTTTGGTAGCAAAAGGTTATATCCACCAAGAGGGTATAGACTATGAGGAAACATTTTCACCAGTGGTGAGATTTGCCTCGATCGCCTTATTCTACCCATAGTTGCCGGATTAGATTTAGAATTACATCAAAAGGACGTTAAGACTGCATTTCTTAACGGAGAACTAGAAGAAGAAATCTACATGGTACAACCTATTGGCTTTGTGGAAAAATTTCATGAGCGCAAAGTTTGCAAGCTCAAGCGTTCCATATATGGTTTAAAACGATCTCCTAGACAGTGGTACCTTCGTTTTCATAGAGCTATAACATCTTATGAATTTACGATGATTAGTTAAGATCACTGTGTCTATGTCAAGAGAACTGGACAATCTTTTGTAATTTTATCATTATATGTTGACGATATCTTGTTGGCTGGAAATGGCATGGAGTTTCTAATAACCGTTAAGAAATGGTTATCATCTAATTTTGAGATGAAGGATATGGGAGAAGCAAACTATATCTTGGTGTTAAAATTCACCGAGATCGATCAAAGAAATTATTAGCTCTGCCACAAGAGTCATACATTCGTACAATCCTTAAAAGGTTTAAGATGTTTAATAGTATTCCGATTGAAACTCCAATCGCAAAAGGTGAAGGCCTTAGCCTAAATATGTGCCCTCAGACCAATGAAGAGAAAATTGAGATGGAAGGAGTCCCATACTCCAGTGCTGCAGGCAGCTTGATGTATGTTATGATGTGAACTCGACCGGATATTTGTTATGCGGTTGGCTTGGTAAGTCGTTACCAGTCAAATCCGGGAAAGAAACACTGGATGGCAGTGAAAAAGGATCCTCATACTTAAAGGGAACAATGGACTATTCCTTGTGTTATCAAGGAAGTGATTTACACTTGACAGGATATACAGATGCTGATTGGGTTGGCGATCTGGATGAGCGTAGATCAACTTCAGGATATGCTTTCTTGTTGAGTAATGGAACCATTACATGGAGTAGCAAAAAGCAATCTTGCACAGCTTTATCAACGTTGGAAGCTGAGTTCATTGCATGTTCAGCATCAGTGCAAGAGGCTGTATGGTTGAGAAGATTCTTACAAAGTTTACAAGTAACTACGGAGGCTTCATGTCCTGCGATTATCCATTGTGATAGTCAAGCTTGTATTGCTTATATGAAGGATCCCAAGTATCATGGGAGGACTAAGAACATTGAAATTAAACATAGTTTTGTGAGTGACATTGTGGCAAAGAAAAAAGTGGTCCTTAAGTACATATCTACGCATAGAATAGTAGCTGATCCGTTCCCATTCCTAGATATTTTTCTTGCTCATGTTGGAGTTTTAGGTTTGCGTAGAGTTTAATGTATGTGCTAGTGGAGCTTTGCCATGTAACATTGTATTTGTATTTGACGTTTATTTATTTATAATATAAATATATTTAAAAATTAAAGAAATATATATATATATATATATATATATATATATATATATATATATATATATATATAATTATTATATACAATGGTATATACTTGCTTTGTATACTTACACATAAAAGTTAAGAGGTGTCAACAAGTAGAAGATTGGTTCACTCACATGAACAATAGCCTCAGATTTCTTTGTGAAATTCTGAGATAAGAATTGATTAGTTGGGCGCTAGTGGGAGCTTGCCTTGTAAGACTTATCAGTGTCGCCTTAATAAGAGGTTAAGATGAGATATGTTTTTTGGTATCGATCATGATTGTCCTAGAAACATGAATACTTGGAAGAGCTGGATAAGTACAAAATCAGGCGCTAGAGAACGAGATGAGAGTAGCTTGATCCACATAGTGATATTTGATTACAGAATTGACACATACTCTTAAAAGAAGAGTTAACTACTAGGACATGTGTGTCATACCACATGTGCTATGTACGACGATATAGGAAGCGAGCGATTATTTTATTTTAATTTCTATCCCTCACATGTGAGTTCCTATCAACCAAATTTATAGTTACAAAAGTTACCCTTGAACCTTCATCTATGTTCTTGAAGGAAAGAACTAATGATTGCTACTTTAGTGTGTGTTTTCGACGAAGATAAAATAATTAACCTTATGGGACATGCTAGGCAAGCAGTTAATTCGGAACAGATGAACATGAGATTGGAAGGGAAAACTTTTTTTTTTTTATATTGACATATGTGTTTGCTGGCCAGCCACTATATCACTCAAATGGAGTTTGGATATAGTGAACACACGATGTAGGATATGTCTAACATATGCTTTATGGACCAGGTATGTTAGACCAATATAAAAGACAAATGAGTATGGGGAACAATGAGACATACTGAAAAGGTAAAAAAGGTTTTTTCTAAAGGTTGTAGCTTGTATGTATCCCTAATAGGTGCATAATTTAGCTTCCAAGTGTAGGTGTACTTGCTAAGGTCGCACTGTTCATTTTCCGTATGATTTTTAAGTTATGATTCTCTTGCTTGATCTTTAAGACTTCTCTAGGAATTGATATGCTCCCAATCATGTGCGAGTGGGAGATATTAATTTGTGTTTGATTTATGCCCATGATTAGGCAGTATACCGAACCGGTTTGATTAACCAGTAGTTATGGGTTAAACTCTGTCAATGAACATATGCAACTCTCTATGAAAAGTATGTGTTTCTTCATTGAACATATGTCTCTTCTGATTGAACATATGTGACTCTTCACAATGTATCCCTTGGTTATCTATAAATAGAATACATTGTAGAGAGAAGCGATCAATCTAAGCAATAAGAAGAATAATTCTAGAGGGAGAATAAAATATTTTAGAGATAGAAAGCTTCAAGGAATCAACTAGAAAAGCATTTGAACTGTGACAAGTGGTTGATTTCCATATGTGATTTCATCCCCGACTCTTACCCGATTGAATCAAACAGTGTTCATCACTGAACCGGGCTATGGTATGTTTTTGGTTTAACACACTTCCGCATTAGAATATCTAACAAATGGGCCATCCACGCTCGTTCATTCGGTCTATGCGCCCATCCCGTCTGACTGGTGGTGCATGGAGGCTTTAAATCCTTGTTTAATGTTTCTACAATCACCACATGACATTTCCCGTGTTTTGGCCTCATTCACACGATATCGTGAATTAATACTTCTCGATAGATCAACATCCTTAAACCACTCTAGCTCAAACATGCTTAATTCTAGAATTTTTTCTGGATATGCATCAGAAAAGATAAAAGCACTTTAATAACATAGATAGTCAAATCAATTCTCTTAATTCTTTCGATATATATCACACACACCGGGATGTTACAAGATTCTTCTATAAAAATGCCACACATAATTAAACGTTATACACCTAACCGAAATCTGTTATGAATTCCTCCTAACTATTGTATTACATTCAAGTCCATACATAAACATGAACGTTCTCTCCACGGTGGATACGGAAAATGAATGCGGAAGACCATGTTTTATTCAGTCTTTTTTGGTTAATCACCTAATAGATAGAGCGATAGTGTTTACTGATTTATGGAATTTTTGTTTGTGTTTTTTTCTAAGTTGACTTGAAAGTAATACTTTAAATCTTCAATCTTCCTCGAAAATTCGTGTGGGAAATTTTTCCATCTGTGGAAATCAACCAACAGATACACATTTTCTAAGTCTTTGGAAGTCAAGCAATACACATTTCCTCATCCTCCCATTATAAGAATAACAAAACTCTAAAATTGATTCCTTCTTTAAAATAACGAAGAAGTACAACAAAACAAAAGTTATCCTAAAAATAATGAAATATTCTTCTCTGATTATCGTCCTCGCTTTTTCTCTTCTTCTTGTCCTTAAAGACCTCAAACAAGTTCAAGCTCTCGGGTGTTATGGAAGTTTTTTAAACGGTAACAGCAGCTACTTTCAGAATCGTCAAAGTCTTTTCTCTACTCTTGCTTCAAAAGTCGTCGCCAACGGTGGATTCTACAACGCTTCATTCGGCAAGAATCCCAATAGAGTTCATGCTCTTGTCCTCTGCGCAAGAGGCTACGAGCAACAAGCTTGTATCAGCTGTGTCGAAAAAGTGACTCATGAGATACAATCGACTTGCCCGAACCGAATGAATTCGTTCAAATGGGACAATGACGATGGAGACCATGTTTCTTGTCTTGTACGTTCCTCAAACCAGTCAACTTTCAAGAACTTCCAGCTTGTACCTGCTGTCATATACCCAAGTCCACTTACTATCGAGCCATCTAAGGACATGACCCTTTTCAGTAAACAGTGGGGAGCAACGGTTAATCGGACAGTCCAGGCTGCCACGGAAGCTAAAAATGTATCCGTACTTCAGTACTATAGTGCTGTACAAGCCGAGTTCACAGCGTTTCCAAATGTATACATGTTGATGCAATGCACTCCTGACATAACTTCACATGAGTGCAAGATATGTTTGGAAAAAAGTGGGACATATTTTAAAAAAACAGTTTTGGGGAAGACAAGGAGGCGAGGTTAGTCGTCCGAGCTGTGTTTTCAGGTGGGATCTATATGCTTTCCATGGTGCTTTTGATAATATAACAAGAGTTCCTGCGTCACCTCAAGGTCAGGCTCACCCACCTTCAACGGAAAGTTACATAAAAGACAAGAAAGGTAAAATAAATGGGTTAGAGCATTTCACAATTTGAAAATGATAGGATTAAAATAGAACAATGGGTATATAATTTGCAGGAAGAAGCATTGGAAATGGTGGAATTATCTCGATAGTTGTTCCTGCTTTGATTAACATTTTGGTGTTTATTGGCCTCATCAAACTCTATGCTCGGAGGAGACAATTCAATAACATAATCAATGGTATGTACCATGTCTGTCTTACGATGTAGAGGGTAAGAGCATTATTATTTATGAGAACACTTCTGATGTTCTGAAAAAGTATTATAATATATCTTAGCTGAAGTTTTAATTTTAATCTTGAAATAAAAACTAAATCAATTGAGAGTGTTCGAAAAAGATTTTTAAAAGCTCTTCTTTCAGAAATCCATTATATTATCTTTCTTCACTTGTTGTTAGTTTGATTTTGTTTAACGGTGAGAACACCTCATGAGAACCTCCCAATGCAAATTCCCTAAGACTTGTTTCTTTTTTTAGTTGGTACTGCAGAGTACTCTGATGGTCAACTTATGTTACGGTTTGATCTTGGAATGATATTAATGGCAACCAATGACTTCTCGTCAGATAATACGCTTGGCCAAGGTGGATTTGGTACGGTCTATAAGGTAGTATTAGTAATAACTCTTAGTTCTTTATCAAATCTTAGTCTTAGATAGATCTTGAGAACTGGTTTCAGGGGACATTACCAAGTGGCCAAGAGATAGCTGTAAAGAGACTAACAAATGGATCAGGGCAAGGAGATATGGAGTTTAAGAATGAGGTTTCACTCTTGACAAGACTCCAACATAGGAATCTGGTTAAGCTTCTTGGGTTCTGTAACGAAGCGGACGAAGAGGTTCTTGTCTATGAGTTTGTCCCCAACTCAAGTCTTGATCACTTTATCTTTGGTGAGCCGTCGAAAAACAGCCGCCATTTTGGATAGCTATTGAAACATTTATCAAAACAATGTTTATTAGAATAAAAATGGAGTGGGGTTAAAGATACTCTTAAATATACAGCCTCTATTTTGGATAATTATCGTAACAATGAGCAAAACAATATTTCTTTGAATTCTACAGATGAAGAGAAGCGTTCGTTTCTTACATGGGAGGTGAGGTGCAAAATTATAGAAGGCATTGCTCGAGGCCTTCTTTATCTCCATGAAGATTCTCAGCTAAAGATTATTCATAGAGACTTGAAGGCAAGCAACATACTTTTAGATGCTGAGATGAACCCTAAAGTTGCAGACTTTGGGACAGCTAGATTGTTCAACACTGACGAGACTCGAGCTGAAACTAGACGAATAGCTGGTACCCGGTAAGAACATATTAATCAACCGTAAAAACAAATAAATAGGCACCATTAATTAACGCTGTACGTTGCATATATGCAGTGGATATATGGCTCCCGAATACGTTAATCATGGGCAAATATCAGCTAAATCTGATGTATATAGCTTTGGTGTTATGCTTCTGGAGATGGTAAGTGGTAAAAGAAACAAAAGCTTTGAAGGAGAAGGAATTGCAGCTTTTGTAAGTTTCTTCACGTAATCAGCTTTTTTTTGGTTTGTATCTTCTAACATATGTCGAGAAAGTAAGAACATATATTTTCTTTTATGTGGGTTTAGGCATGGAAGAGATGGGTTGAAGGAAATCCTGAAATTATAATTGATCCTTTCTTGGTAGAGAATCAGAGTAACGAGATCATTAAGTTGATCCAGATTGGTTTGTTGTGTGTTCAAGACAATGCATCAAAGAGACCAACCATGAGCTCTGTAATAGTTTGGCTTCGCAGTGACATAATTACCATTCCTTTACCTAAGGCTCCTGCTTTCACAAGTAATCAATCCCAATCTGAAGATGGTATGATGTCAATGAGCAATGCCTTCACGGAATTGAGTTCTCGTTAAGTTATAGATTTGGTTTTAAGGTAGTACCAAGTATTCTAATTGTATTGAATTGAAAAAGAGAGTAGTAAAAAGTAGAAGAGAATATTACATCTAAGGTCACATTTCATCTTATTAATTTCATGCCACGACACTTCTTACTACAAGGACACTTTTTCTTTAACTAAAGCTGATTTCTAACCAATATAGTTGCATCTTGCAAAAAGACTTCTTAACTAAATAAGGTAATTGGCGGGCTTTGTTATTAGCCCTTGATCTTAATTGCATTTTGACGGTCAAGATTGGTTGGTATAGATCTGAACAAGGTACATCTATCAATTTATAGCCATTAAAGATTGTTGATTCTATTTGTTGTTAATTTTTAAGTTTCTCTTTTGACATCTTCCTTATCGTTATCTTCTTTTCAGATACACAAAACAAAACAAAAAGTGATTTTTTTTGCACCAACCAAAATAATTCAAAATCAGAAATGGTCTCTGAAATCCGATGATCCATGAAACTCTTCGAGGTGGCTCATGGTCTCACCGTCAGCGATTCACCGTGAACTTATCTGATTGCGCGACTATCGAGCCATGGCGAGTCTTTTCTCCATCGCGAATGTGATTGAGTCCTGATCTCAATCTGTGTTCGTAACCCTAACCACGATGAGCTTCTTTTTTTTAAAAAAAAAAAGAATGATGAAGCTCCAGAGCAATCATTTTTTAAAAAAAAAAACTCAAAAATGCGGCCTGGTGCAGCCCGCGTGTGGAGTCTGTGGTACATGACTCACAAGAAGGCGCGGGCTATGGTCACCCGCGTGATGCATCCGCAGAGAAGGTCGAGGAGAGAGTGGTTCTCGGGTTGAAATACGCTGCCTCGCTCCGGCCCGCGTGGAACGTCTGTGTGTGGAGGTCGAGAAGCTGGTGGCTCTCGGGTAAGATTACGCGGCCTTGCGTGGTCCGCGTGACCTGTCCGCGGGACTGGCCCATCTCGAGTGATCCTTCTCGGGTTGGAATACGCGGCCTAGTACTTGTCCGCGTGTGGGGGCCGTGGTACATGACTCTAGAAATACTTGGTATGCTCCATTTCCTTGACTAAACACTTTAATCTTCAACCTGAGCTTCTCCATACCTGAAATACCACACATGCATATGCAATGCAACCTAAACATGTCTAAACCTAAGTCTATATGATGATTTATGTACAAAATAAAATGCTAAATCTATGCAAATATGCATGATATCAGTGAGCCGCAACTCGCTTAGCAAAAGACAAAAAGACGAAAAATACGAAAAAAGTTTAAAGAATTTGGGACTGGACCTTATGAAAGGCTGCCTACGTACCCCTTTCGAGGATCAAGTCGAACATAGTTCAGTTAGAAGGATTTGAACAGAAGATTGAACTGCCTGGGCGAGTTCGTCTAGTATGAGTGCAAGTCATTGAAACTGAGCTTGTTAAGAATAAAGCCTAGGGTTTCTAAATGCAAAGACTTCTGAGTCATAAAGTTGTGCTCTCCAAAGTCTTTCTTTGCATCTTCATCCTAGATTTCCTTATATACTCTCTTAGAGGCGGTTTGCCTCTTCCCGCTTTTCCCCTCGGCTGAATCTATCTCTTCTGGATATTTTCCATTTTCCTCCGATCTTCGTGTTTATCTTCAGAAACTTAACATTTATCTCTTTTAAGTTTAACATTTAACTTCTTCTGCAAACAAGAACAACAGACCGTCATACCGGTTGGCCTTGATTTCTAATAAATCATAAGTGGGCCATTGGTCACGTTTAGGCCTTTCTCTGCCCTTTTTGGACTTAAGCATTTTTACGATTTCTCGAAAGAACGCTTCTGAAACAATGTCGATCCTTAAGGAATCCTGAAATTCTCTTATAAGAGAGACAACTTAAGGCGTTTAGTGAACCGTTGTCGTATCATACGATCTTTCGGATCTCGCAAGAGAAAACGTGTTCTTACAATTTTTGCAGTAAAGTTTTGCCGTTAACGCCGATCGAGACAAAACAAGAGACAATTTGAGCTAGGACCGGAAAGGAAGCTTTCAGAACATGATGAATCAGACTTAGGTTTATTCAATTGATCCACTTTTCCCGTTAGACAAGATGGATGGATCCACCTCGCTGAGCGGGCGAAGTGGAGTTCATTGTTGATCCACATTGCCCGTTAGGCGAGGTGGACCGGTCCACCTCGCCAAGCGGACGAAGTGGAAGTAGTGCAAGATCCACTTTGCCAAACGGGCGAAGTGGAAGTCGTGTAGGATCCACTTCTCCCGTTGGCCAAGGTGGACCGGTCCACCTCGCCCAACAAGCGAAGTGGATGAAGTTGTGTAAGATCAACTTCGCTCGTTGCGCGAGGTGGTGGACCAGTCCACCTCGCCCAACGAGCGAAGTGGATGAAGTTGTGTAAGATCAACTTCGCTCTTTGCGCGAGGTGGACTGGTCCACCTCGCCAAACAGGCGAAGTGGAATCTTTCATCGATTAACTTCACCCGTTCTGCGAGGTGGATTGATCCACCTCGGCGAATGGGCAAAGTGGAGTAGTGTTTGCGATCCGATGTCTTGTTTTGGATGTTTGATTCGTTTGCCAAGAGATCGTGTAACCTTCCGTATATTTTTTCGAGGTGTTTAGTGGCTTCGTGTTATCAAGAAATTGCTAAGTTTTTCTTGTAAAACATTTCTTGAGAACTTTTGGGCGTTGATTTCGTCGTGACCAATTTTTACCCCAACAACTGGTTAGCTATGTAGCATTTAGTACTCTATCTTTAGTTGGAATCATAGTCAGCCATGTGTATTAAGATTTTGATCTATCAAGGTGACAAAATATCTATAATGCTCCCTAGAGATGCATGGTGCATTCCATACATCAGAATGTATAACATCAAAGCAATGTTCATAGATAGTGGATGACTTAGGGAATACAGTTTTGCAGGGTTTGCCTAGAATGCATGCTTCAGAGCCATCATTTTTT